ACTGCAGTATCTTTGTTGTAGTAACTAACTTTACTCTTGAATTGACTAATTCAATATATGATGGGTTTTGATGTGCATTGCCTCTGCTATCTATAATCTGGAGCACAAAAACTTCAGAAAACTACAAAGCTGTCCAGGTGAAGTCTAAAAATGTACTCAATCCCTAGACAACATGATAGGAAAAATGGATTTAGTTAGCAAACATGTCTGATTTCTCTATTGATTCTGGTCTGTTGGCTGAATGACTATTAGTATTTTACCTTTTTTTTTCAATTGCCTAATCTGCAAAATTGGGAATAATGATATTTCATGGGCTATTTTGAGCATAATTTCTCTAAAAGTAGTTTATCTCTTGGTAACTGTCTATACTAATCATTAATGTGGTAACCACACATAAAGCACTCAACTAACTTTTGGTTGAGGAGATGAATAAATGAATAAACGTTATTACCAAATATAGTCCTTAGTCAACACTGCTAATGTAACATCTTATTAAATACCAAGATACATTCTACCCTTATGAATTCCAGACTCATGTCACTGATTTGATATTGATTTTGGATGTCACTGAAGAAAAGGAAATCAGAGTATAATTGTTATATCCTTTTCTTTTTTTAATTAATCATTAAATTCCCATGTGCCTTATGAGCAGGAAGTACAGTATCTTCTTGAAGTCACTCGCTACCTCTTGCCTAAGTGTTGGAGATCCCAGGAGTTTCATAACAGTTTTCATAACAGAGTTTCTGTGAGAAACTGTGAGAAGCTGAGCAAGGAGCCCGATGTGGGACTCAATCCCAAGACCCGGGGATCATGACCTGAGCCAAAGCCTTAACTGTCTGAGCCACCCAGGCAACTCTGTTATTTCGTAACAGTCACCTTTCAAGCATCAAGCAGAGGTTGAGAACTGACGTCACCCCAATATTGCTATTCCTATTAGTAGCCACAAGAGAGCAGTGTTGACTTGCCGGCTATGAAGCATTTATTTACTCTTGGCAATAACTCCAGGCTTTATAGACTCCCTGGCTGCACAGTTTGATGTCCCACACGGGGCCTCTGAGGTCACAGCTCTCATGCTAACACCCATTGGCTTAGAATATATCTGAAGAACAAGAGCATATCTGGATGACTATGTACTATAAGGCTCCCAAACTCCACTTTATTATATGTGGAAAATATAGTTTTGTTCCTTCAACAATATTGAGATCTTTGCTTTGAGCATTGGTCACCAGCATAAACTCCCTTTTTCCTCCAGATAATTTAATTCCAGGAGATTTGCTGCTCTTTCTTGCTACTGGCTCTTCATTTAAATCTGTGCTGGTCCTGAATAGCAGTGTTCAATGATATTCTTCAAAGATACTCTTTTCCAAAAGGCTCTGTGTTCCTCTTGCAAATGTGAGTAATGTGCAAACCAGGGAGTGAGGTGAATGACTATTGGCTGGCCTCTCCCTTCCCCTTCTCATATTTTTAATACACCCCCTTCCAGTACAATTGGACCACAGTCATTCTGTATTAGCAAAGTGACTCCACATATTTTCACTTAAACTGACAAAATATCTTATTTTTTTTCCAGCTTATTGAGATATAATTGACATACAGGAGGATAGAAGTCTAAGGTGTACAGCATAATGGCTTGACTTATATACATATTGTAAAATGATTACCACAACAAGTTTAGTTAATATCTAGTATCTCATATATACACAAAAAAAGAAGAAAAAAATTTTTTCCATGTGATAAGAACTTTTAGGATCTAGTCTCTTAGCAACTTTCAAATATACCATACAGCAGTGTCAACTACAGTCATCATGTTGTACATTACATCCCCAGTACTTATCTCTTAAAACTGGAGGTTTGGGGCGCCTGGGTGGCTCAGTTGGTTAAGCGACTGCCTTCGGCTCAGGTCGTGATCCTGGAGTCCCGGGATCGAGTCCCGCATCGGGCTCCCTGCTCGGCGGGGAGTCTGCTTCTCCCTCTCCCACTCCCCGTTTGTGTTCCCTCTCTCGCTGTGTCTTTTTCTGTCAAATAAATAAAAAATCTTAAAAAAAAAAAAAAAAACCTGGAGGTTTGTACTTTTAAAATGTCAATTTAAAATGCCTTTAGTTTCTGCTACTTCATTCTATCCATTCAAGACATGTTCAAAGACTGTACTAAGAGGACATTTTTTTGCAATGGGAGCTTCACGGCAAAGGTGTGCTTACCCTTCAAGATCTGGCTCTTTGGGTAATCCTGTCCCTCCATCCCCTTTATCTGTATGAGGACTCACCCCAAATCTGTCTCAGAACCACTGTGTCCAGTTTCTTGAGCCACCTGCACTGGGCTTGACAATTCTGTGAGAAACTGTCATCATCTTAATTTGTCTCCCAAGGACCAAAGTGGAGAGCCAACCTCAAGGACATGTCATGCCTGTTCTTATACTTAGGGCTCTACTACTTGGAACGAAAGATGCACTGTAGACATTACTGGTTAACTCTTAGTCACTTCAATATCATAAGCAAGGGAATGTTTGCTGAGGCCCCTGATGTGCCAGAAGCTGTGCTTGTCACTCTGAGGGATGACAACAGGCATGCTGGCCTCTACATCCCTTACAAATCCCTAACACAAGCTGTAGTTTCTACAACCATGTACTCAGCATCCCTGAGCAAGTTTGAGTCAAACTTCTCATAATTATGGTGGCTGTTTGCACTGATCTAGAGAAGCCTAATGCAGGAATTAAGATCTGAATATGACCAACTAACAGGGATTCCTCTTTGAGTCCCTTATGGATTTGCACCTGGGAGAAGCATAGCAGAGGTGGAGAAAACACTCCTAGAGAGACCAACAGAGTGGACTAAGTGCTGGGCAATATCACCTGACAATATGTATCCTATTCCTATGGATTGCATCCTTTCTGTTAGATGTTTTTGAAACTAATTTTTGTAATCATCCACACAAGGGTCTTATGAAAATTAATGTTATCGTGCACAGATACTGCTATATTGCAAGTGCTCAAAACATTTGAGCTTTTGTTTTCATTGTCATTACCATCACTGTTATCAGTATGTAAGGACATTGAGATTATTTGTATCATTTTTGGTCATCAGTGTTGAAGTTGGCCCTTCTGTCCTCTGACGGACAGGAGGAAGGTGGAGGTGGATAAACTCTTCCAGCAGCCATGAGATGGAGGGGAGCCCTGTGAGAGAATTCTCCTGTGGAAAATGACAAATGCTGAGTCGCACCTGTGGCTCTGGCTTGAGGAAATGAGAGCCAAGCCTGAGGGCAGTAAGAGCCCCTTCTTGTAGGCAAATGGATGTCATTTTCCTTTCCTGCTGTTACTGAGTGTGGCTTTGGAAGAGTCTGCCCTGGAGCCCACACAGTCCTGAGCTGCACTTACTGTGGGGAATCCCTGCAGTGTGATGTGGTCATTCTGTATTCCAGCTCAGAGCTAACTCCAGACTCTTCCATAGCTATGAAAGCTGGCCCTGTGACATTATGTTATGATGCCATGTCTCTTTGCATACCCGCACGGGAGGACTTGAGTCTGTGTCCAGTCCCTGGGAGCCAGTGTGCACTGCAGGGTGCTGCCTCAGTTGTCCCTCATGTGGTCACAAGCCCTCAGACTCAAAACTGACAGGAGCTGCATAGTCATTAACTCTTGTCTTTCAGCCCCAGACCTACCATCCAGATCCGCTTGGGATGCTGGGACTTGGACTCTGGACCTCTTCTTTGTCAGCTGGCTCCCTTTAATTTCCACCCACAGAGAACAGCTGGAAAAGACTGGAAGGCTAAAGCAGGGCAGGGGATACTTGCTTCTTCCTATCCCTGTCTTGTCAGTATCCCTGAGCAATGACTCTTCACCTGGCAGTGGAGTTGATTCTAGTCTCCGGGATTTGTTGGTTGATTGGTTGGGTGTTGTGTTTGAGTTTGATTTGGGTTTGGGTGTGGAACTCCCAGGATCCAATCAGCCTCACTGAACTTCCTCCGAGGTACCAGCAGCAGCAGGATAGAGTCCCACCCTCAGAGATCTTAGTCCCAGCTCTGAAGGCACCTCCTCTGAGCTCCAGGGACAGCAGTACCAGTTGAAGGCAGCACCAGTCCCAGTCCCATAGACCCATCTCCAACCTTCTGCGGTCCAATGACCAAATTCTTCCCAACTGTGATTCTTCCCACAGGTGCGACCTCTGCAATTACTTCAGCAACCCCTGTTTTAGTTTCAGGTTTCCATCATCCATTAAACCATTTGTTTTATATTAATCTCTGAAAATAACCAGTACAATTTCTTTTCTCTTCTCCTGACTAGACTCACTATTATCCAGAAACCTGACCCTTTGCTATGTCTTCTCACCTCCAACTAGAGCTCTTAAGCAAAGTCAACAGATCAAGTAAGACCTGATTTTCAGTTCACTGGATGTGTAGCTTAAACATTTAGGAGAAGTGGCCAAACCACTGCCCCAGTCAGTTTCCCCATTTTCTGAGAAATGGCATCTCTTCTCCCTACCTCTCTCTCAACCTATCCTCATTTCTAAGACTCTTCTCCTGAACACTCTTCTCCTGTAGGCCTGCAGATGCTTTGTCAGGCAGGAGTCTGCCTTCTCTGAGAACCTGCTGGTTCTCAAGGAAGTAGGTATAGGCGGGAAATAGATATCCAGAAAGACAAAACACAAGCAAAGTTGATAGAGGCCTGGTATCCAGCTTCAATTGCACTTGAAGGGGCATTTCTGTAGAAGGAGCCCAGGCTCTGGAGTCTGAATTTCCTTCTCTGCCACTTTCCAGAGAATGTGGTCTTTGGCATTTTCCACTCTTGAAAAACATCTTTTTTTCTACTATGTAAAATGGAAGTAATAACACCTACAGAAATGTTGCAAAAGATTAAATCTACTTAAATAAAGTTGCCTATACTCAAAGCAGTTACTCAAGAAATATGAGTTTCTTCCTCTACCTTCACCCAAACCAGGCGAGGAGAATAAAGGAAGAAATCTGGGTCAATTATGAAGTGAGCTTCAGAGTGTATAATAAATACTCACCAAGATTTTGTCCAATTCACTGCCTAGACAAAATCACTGAGGAGAAGGAAGAAAAGGAATTAGAAATCTACTTTACATATTCACATCCCTCTCCACAGTAATTTCTTAATTCCTTGTTTTATCTCTTTGGTCTGAACCCCATATACAATAGGGTTCAAGGCAGGAGGTATGAGGTGATGAAGGACATTGAGCAAGATGAGGATGTCCATGGGGACCCTCTTTCTGGCCACATTTCTCAACACAACAACCAGAGGATGGTGCTGAAGAACAAATGAGGATGAAGTGAGAGCCACATGTGCTCAGAGCTTTTACAGCAGCCCCCTCAGCCTTGAACCTAAGCACAGCTCTTAGGATGAAGGTGTAAGAGAGGAAGATGAGGATGAAATCTGACCCCAGTAGTCCAACCAGCCACAAATTGGTAGATTCTGTTAAGGGTGAAATTGTCACAGGAGAGCCTGGACATGGACAAGTTGACATAGATGCAGTTCTCAATGACATTTTTCCCACAATAATGGAGCCGGGCAGTGAGAATAGGAATAGGTGCAGTGAGAATGGCATTTTGGGTGACAATGAAGATGCTAGCCTTGGCCACAAATTGGTCAGTGATGATGGATGGGTATCATAGTGGGTGGCAGATGGCCACATAGCGGTCATAGGCCATGACCATGAATGTGCAGGACTCCATAGGGAGGAAACTGTTCATGATGAACATCTGGAGGAAGCAGGCTGAGAAGCTGATGGACCTGAGATCAAACCAGAAGATGGCCAGGACCTTGGGGATGACGGTCCGACAGAGCACGATGTCCAACAGAGAGAGGAGGCTGAGCAGGTAGTACATGGGCTCGTGCAGAGAGACCTCCAGCCAGATGGTGATCAAGAGGGTGGCATTGGCCCCCATGGCCAGGAGGAAGAGGAGGCTGAGGGGCAGGGACAGCCAGTGCTGCCAACTCTGGTAGTTAGGGAAGCAGAAGAGGAGGAATTCAGAGACTGGAGCAGTGGAGTAGTTGCTGGGTAAGGCCATGGAATGAATCTTGAGGCTTCTCTTGACTATTTGTATGGGCAGATACAAGAGGCATTTTTTTTTTTTTTTAGTTCACTTCAAAAGTGTGCTTCTCACTCTTCAGGAAGCTAATGATATATAGGAGACTCATCCCAAAAGGCAAATCCCAGTCAATATCATAAAGACAGACTGGTGAGATTTGACAAATAATGCTATGGTCTATAAAGGAAAAATGAATCCGTGAAAAAACTAAGATTTTAAAGGTGAATAATGCTAGGGGATAACCTCCCAACATTAAAAATGTGCAACAAATTATGTCAGCATGGTACTAGTAAGGAAAATAAAATGTTAATAGTATAAAAAGATAGGCCAGAAACACACCTAGTTTTTATAATCATCCAGTACTAATATGAAGGAGGCATGAGAAGAAGGATCTTTAATAGGTGTTTTTGAGATAATTATTGACATTGATGTGGGTTGGAAAACTTTTAATTAGGTACTCACCTACTATCATATCCAATATAATTTTAGATGAATGATTTTGTTATATCCCTTCCCCAAACTCATGGTATACTAGAAGAAAATGGAATACAAAATTAATTAAATCAGTCATTTGCTAAAACTCCAGTCCTATTTGAATACAACCATTCATTTTCCAGGGCCTGCACCTGGTCATACCAAGTCTTCTTAGAATAAGTCTAAAACTACAGAAATGGCTGCTTTTACTATAAGTTTATAGTTACCAACTTTAAATGAGTCCTCAATGCTGCCTGTCCATCCTACAAAGCTTGCCTGATCAACTTTCCCTTCTTCCAAAGCCTTTTTCAAGCCTTCTTCATTCTTTTCAAACCTTGAACTCCACTTCTCCTCTTGGAAGATGGCATCAAACACTACCTTGCAGAGGAAAGAAGTGTCCAGTGATATTTTCTTCAACTTCCCAAGATAAAACTTACCAACCTACTTGTACATTCTCCCATCCTTTCCTTGTTTCCAACCACTGAAACAGAATCTGCCCATCCTCAAAATGTCAAACCTTCCATCTCCTACACTGAATCGTAGCCCTCCTAGCCTTGCAGTTCCACTATCAATTATTTGTTCTAGTTCCCTAACTTGGAGTCATATTTCCTTCTTCACTGGATCTGCCTTGTCTTTCAAACATTGAAACCTTGGAAAATAGCAACACCGAAAGGGTGAAAAAAGAAAAAAAGAGACATAAATGGAGGGTCTGTAAGAGTATGAAAAAAATCAGAAGACTATGGTGACCTAGGAAAAATTGGGGGGAAAACTTCAAGGAGTATATGGCCAACTTGTCAGTTAAGCAGAAGTTCAATAACATGAGAATATGAATAGCCATTAAATTTTACAGTGACCTGGACAAGAGTAATTCACTGGACTGGTGCCAACAGAAACCAGAACGAGGGTGAAGAAGTTAGTAAGGGAGGACATGTAAACAGAGAGTGTTGACTACATAGCTAAAGAGCCTCATTTCAAGTTCATAAGTGAAGAAAAAAGCAAGACAGGAATGAGACATACTGCAGCATGCTTATTTGTTTATGGAAAGGTTAAAATTCAGAAGGAAAGTAAGATAACTGAAGTAGTTAGTTCATTGAGAAAGTTATTATTATTATTATTTTCTCTGTAACACAACACAGATTTTGTACTTCTTTGTCTCCCTCTACCCTCCTGTGAAATATTTGAAGACAGACAAATTACACTTTTCCATTTATACACACCAACATTATCTAACACCCCACAGATTCTTCATAAAAATCTGTTGAAAAGATTTTTGAATTATGGGCCTTGATGTTCTACATTGATGGAAAATTCCAAGGAGGGAAAGTGAGAGAGGAGAGTTAGCCAGAGTTTCAGTGTGCTGAAGGGGACACTGAGGAAGGGAGAGAAGTCCTGATCCATACTACAGATGGTGGTCACTGAGGGGGCAGGGCAGGATACAAAATGCATATTGGAAATTGGAGGCTTCTTCATGCCACTGTTTACAGGTGCTCCTCAAGAGCCTGCTCCTGTTAGTGGTAAAACCCTGGGCTAGGTCTCTAACTTAAGAAATCTCTTGCCCTTGCCCTAATTAATACAAACACAAAACAACCCTATTGCTCCTAACATGTTTGTTAGAATTTTCTTGAATTTCCTCCAGTCTGGTCATTACCAACTTATCCATACAAAAATCTATCTCCCTGTACCTGTCTTTCCTCTCCTCCTTGACCCTTATCCTCTCTACATCCTATTTTCTCATCCCTATTGAATGACTTTCTTAGCACTTTGTCCTCTTCTAGCATTGTTTGATATAATCTTCATACCTGTTTATGCTTCTTCTCAAAGGCCACTCACTGATCAATTCTCCTATGTCTCTGCTTCTGTTCTTCACATGTTGGTCATTAACTTGTGGAAAAGCCAAACTTCTATTGCCCAAAACTCATCAAGCCCAGGACACTTGTCTCCAGCCACCCAGTGTTACCGCTTCAGCTCAGAGTCTATTCAACTCCATTTCTTCACTGCTTAACATTGGAGAATGGGACAGGGGGAGGGAGTGAGAAATCTGGAATAGGAGAGAAGGAAAAAAGAACAGATTCCTAGATGTCCTGAATGGTAAAAGTACACATAGGAACATAAGTCAGTGATGTGGTACATAGAGTAAACATTGATTTAGGACTCTAAAACTGGATAGACAGTATTAGCTGAAAAATACCAAGTGTCTAGTATGTACCAGGCATTCTTCTAAGTGTTATGTGTGTGTGTGTGTGTGTGTGTATACACGTATATAAATTTATTTCATAGACATACAATCTCAAGAGCAAAGTAGTTGAGAATCTTTCTCAGCCCTATTCTGGTTACTTCACCTGGAGTATCCTACCCAATTCAGTACATTGTATTAAGTCGTATGAGTTACAAGATGATAAAAGTTACAGGATGATAAAAATCTACAAATTATAGATGTGTGGACTGCCAAAAATAAGAACATTAGTGATAACTTCAAAATATAGGAATGGCTATCTTGAGGGAGAGGGCAAAACTAGGACCATCAGAGAGAAATCAGAGAAATGGAGCCTGGTTGAATCTGAAAGAGAGCTTTCTATCAATCTAAAGAAAGTTAGCTCTGCAGGTTAAATTGCTCTACTGAGACAAAGTTGGGGGGAAGCTTCTTCATCAACATTTTTTCCTGAATCTCCATGCCAGGTATCTGGTGACATACTAAAGTCAGCATACCTACACCCCCTATCCCATTGTAGAATTTATAGATCTCCTTTTTTTCCTGGTCAGGCAAGATGAAGTCCAATTCTCTACATGCACTAGGTCTCCTAACCAAGCAAGGAAATGGGATCCTTTTTTAGAAAGGCAGAGGGAAGAAAGAAAACCTAGCATGCTCCTTACAGAGATGCTTAGGATTTCTGGATGCTAATGCATCCAGAGCCACATCTCCCACCACCTCATTGCCTTTTCTGCCTGCTAATTGGAGGTTGCCTATTAGAAAAGACCCCTGCCTGCCTTGTCACTCTTCCCATCTAGAGCCAATTCAGTCTGTGCTACCTACCCTCCCTTGACTCTGGAACTTACAGAAGATGTCAAAGGATGAGTCCTTTATGATGTATCAGCTGTATTGGTAACCATGCTGGGACTTAGATGAATAAATATGAAGAGTTTTATGAGCTCCTATTCCTCTCCTACCCCCCCCCCCCATTTATGGACCCAGATGGGAAAAGGTGGCTTGGGAAACAGACTTAGGGGATGAAGAGCTGAGTCCTTTGGGAACTGTCTTATGGTGCTCCTGCAGGTAGGGAGTTGGGATTAAAGAATGGAGTGGTTTGAAGTTAAGGTAAGAAATAGCCCAGAAGCCAGAAGTCAATGATCTGGTGCACAAACCTGATATGCAAACATGGTCAAATGTGTAGGAAAAGAGACTATAGAGCAACCTCCTTTATTATAATAGTAATCCTAAAGTTTTGAGGGACCTTTCTGAGAGACCTAAACTACTTAAGTTCTTTTACATTTTTTCTCATTGAATCATCTCCCTTAGATATGAATGGGCAACTCTTTTAAGTAGGAACTATTATCCCCACTCTATAGGGGATAAATAGAAAGATAAAGCCTTGCCCCAAATTCACCGCAATTAACCTACATTCATAGCCATATCAATCTGATTCCAATGTCTGTGTTCTAAATGACCCTTCTCTTTACTGATGAATGTGACCATAGTTATTGATATCCTAAACAAAATCCTAGCAAGTCGAGTTTAGCAAACTGTTAACATTTTTTAATATATTTATCTTTTGAAGAATGCAAAGAGGGTTCAATATAAGGAAATCTGTCACCTAACACATCAAAGTTGTGGATAAGGTCGTGGGAATAAAACCATTCAAATCACAAACGGATTTGAATACTAGCCCTGGCATTTGCTATTTTTTTTTAAAGATTTTATTTATTTATTTGAGAGAGAGAATGAGAGAGAGAGAGCACATGAGAGGGGGGAGAGTCAGAGGGAGAAGCAGACTCCCCGCTGAGCAGGGAGCCCGATGCGGGACTCGATCCCGGGACTCCAGGATCATGACCTGAGCCGATGGCAGTCGCTTAACCAACTGAGCCACCCAGGCGCCCCTGGCATTTGCTATTTGTGTGACCCATCCATTAAACAAATACTAACTACCACCGTATGCCCCACAAACTGTATTAGGCACTGTATACAATGATGAATAAGGCAAACATGGTTCCTATCTCACCAAGAGCTCACTCTAATTATGTGGTTGTTGAAAGAAAATAGGCATCTCTAAATGTACTTATTTGAATAATTTCTAAGATATATTATTTAGCAAAGAAGCAAGAGGCAAAAACAGTGCATAGAATGCTACACAACATTATTTTAATGCTATAAAAAGAATAAATATAAATAAGTGTATATATAAATACATACATTATCATCTATATTCTTATATATAATCAAATTACCTCTGGAAGGATATACAAGAAACTTATAAGAGTAGTTGCTTCTGGGAAAGAAAATTCTGTGCTTGGCAGATAGAATAGAATGGTATCTTAGAGATTGCTGGTTGTGTACCCAGTGCCCCATTCTTCCTTATTAACAAAAACCATAATTTTATTTGGGTACCCATCTATACTGCCAAAATACTATTCTTCTCAGATTCTGAATGTCATTTGGTGGGGTTTCCAAGAAGACTCTAACGTGAACTAACTCAGTTGAGAAATGAAGGTCATTAGCCCTCACTCCTTTCTCATGGAACAGACACAGGATTGACACCTGAATTTCTAGCTAAAAGCATCAGCAACTTTGAGGACAGAAGTCAGTTTTTAAGTATGATAAAGAATATAGAAACTGGTGAAGCTCTGGTTTCAGCCCTGGATGTCCACCTCTGAAACCCTTCTACATGAAAGGAAAAGAATTCTCTAATTTGTTGGTCACCATATTTGGAGTTTCTATTATATGCAATCAGACATACACTAACTGAAACAAAGAATGAATTACTTTTACTGAATACCTTTTTTAATTTTCAAAATTTTGAACCATGTACATAAGTTACTTTTTTTTTATTTAAATTCAATTAGCCAAGGTATAGTACATCATTGATTTTTGATATAATGTTCAGTAATTCATCAGTACTTTTTAATTAAATATTTTTAAAAGGTATTCTTTTGGTAATACAGATAAAAATATAAAACAAATAAGTGTTAAAAGTTTTGGTAATTATACAAAAGAAAATATACAAAATCCTCTCATGTACCATCATGGAGCATTACTATGGGAGCATTAGGTTAGGTAAGGGAGATCAAAAAGGTCTTAACAAAGAGAGGTATGAATAGGAAGGAAAACAAGGGTAGAAGCAGAAAAGGCAGGAGAAGACTATTATCTGGTCCAGGCAAGCGATGGTGGTGTCATGGACCAGATTGGTGGTAGAGGAAATGACTCTGAATAAACAAATTTTGGAAGAATAGTCAAGTCAATATAATGATGAATTACAAATGAGAAATGAGGTATTCAATGTAGAAATCAAATATGAATCAGGATTCTTTCTTAGACAACTTGGTGGATATGGGCTCATTTACTGTAATGACATCACACATTAAGATTTCTGGGTATTGTTGAGTGTACATCTGAAGTTTGTAATAATAAATTTAATGTGGGTTCCTGGATGGAGTTTGCCTTCAGCTCAGGTCATGATCCCAGAGTCCTGAGGTGGAGCCCTGTGTAAGGTTCCCTGCTCAGTGGGGAGTCTGCTTCTCCCTCTCCCTCTGCCCCTCCCCCCTGCTCATGCTCTCTCTCTGTCTCTCTCTTTCTCAAATAAATAAATAAAATCTTTAATTAATTAATTTAATATGAAATCAGTATGTTTATTTATGGGATTTTTTCCTAGCAAATTTCAATCTTTCACAGAGGAGATAGATATTTAGATTTAAACAGTTTGGGTTTTTTCAAGCAACGAAATGGAGGGAGAGAACAAAAGAGGTTAGATTATTTCCAAAAATATAATTAAATTATGGGCTATAGAATCTAAGGCTATACAAAAAATAAAATCAGACAAGAAAGGAATGAATGACAGTATAAAGAGGATTCCACCAATGGCTTGTGACACTAGATATTCAACAATTGTAACTTACTAAGGATAGTTGAAAATTTGAGCCTGACAGTCAAAGGTGATAGAAAGCAGATGTTTTAAGTCTATATGTTAGAGGTAGATCAACCACAAAAATGAAATAAGTCAAAATTGGAGGTGTAAACAAAAAAGTTTAAGTTTTGAGTACAGGCTGATCTAAGTACTCAAATATTTCATTTTCCCAGCAATAAGACCCCACTGAAAAATAAATGCATATACATAAAGTAATTAACAATTATAGGAGAAGATACATACAGTATAGTTACTTAAAAATACATCTGAGAGGAGTTTAGGAAAGGCTTAGACTTCAAGCAAAGAATATGTTCAAGAGAGAAATAATTTGAGATGTGAATTTTTAGCCCATAGTATCTCCCACTGATTTTAGACAAGTTAGGCAATAAATCATTTATTTAATTTTCTTGTTGTCTCATCTGAGCCACCTGTAAACATAATTCACCTGGCAGCTACCTTACATTAGAAAATGGGCAGAAACTTATCTCCTGCTGCCCTTTATAAATTTGTTTGGGATCGGTGTAATTGTAGCAGTCTGGAGCTTCCTGCTGCTTTATATTGCACAGGAGGATTGAGCCCATCTGAAATAGATACAATGAGAACAGATAACCACTCAGCTGGCAAGCAGGGCATGAGCTGTTTCTGCTGGGAATCCACTAACACAGCTCTATTCACTTGCGCTGGGAAGTACACACCCGGAACACAACAGGGCCGTGCAAAGATAACACCAGAACAGACTGATGGCCAAAACTGAAATTCAAAAGAGATGCTACAATCAAGCCAATAAAAAGTGAAAGAGCTGCTTTGTAGTTCCCACTTCTCCCACACTTATTTTTTACTGTTTCTCCACAAGTTCCTAACTAGTGACCTTTAAATGCATCCCCCTTAGTTCACTGACTTCTTACTTTTGTTTTCTACTTATGTAAACTGGTAGTTTTTCTCCCCAATCTGATACTCATCCTTTGAATTCTCACTCTGAAGAAT